AACCCTGGAATTGTGTCTAAGGTAAGAAAGTCAAAAAAACATCAGATTTCTGTCGTCAATGGTCTGGGACACAAATCTAACGGCAATAATGTTGGTGGGGTTGGTAATAAATTATTCGTGTGCCTGAAGAAGTTTTAGCTTGGTTTTCTATAAGAATGTTTAGTTGGCTCCTGATAGATGCCTGCTGCAATGCTGAATTCCCATGTCCATTTGTTGGTTTCATTTTTTTAACGAAAGAAAATGTGTTCAAGTAAAGTAGATCAGAGCTCATGTTCACAGGATGCAGGACGAGTCTTCCTCCCAAGCAGGAAATAAAAGGAAAATGACAAAATGAGACGTTGAAACAGGAGGGCTCTCCAATTTTTATTTTATTAATATTTTTTTTTTATCAGAAAGAGAGGTCCCAACAAATCCCTGGAAGTGGAACACCACATAAATGCTTGTAGAACATTTCTATCCCATAACAGATGATTAGAGAGGATTGACTTTCAAATTTTTTGGAATTCCTGGGTTCCACAAGCACCAATTTTTGAGAAAACTGTGCCATACCATAATAGCTTGCAATCCATTTCTTCCTCAGAACCAGCCTAGTAGCCAATGGGGTATTAAACACCTCATCCAACTTTCTCAGATAGGTTTCAATTTCAAGAAGCAACTTCAGTGTGAATTTTGTATCTGGTTCCCCTGTTTAATTGTGGTAGTCATATGTGCTGTCATGCTTTGACTTGTGTAAAGATTTTTCTTTGCCTATACTAGTTGATACATGTTTTATGTGTAAGCCAATTATATATCAATGAGGTGCTGCATAATGTCTATTTTTCCCTCTTTTTCTTTGACAAAGTGACAGATAATCACTTCCTCTCTGGTTAGTTTTCTTATCGTCACTTTATTTTTCTTTGCAGACAGAGAGCGAACTTGTAGAAGCAGTCGATCGTGATTTGAGAAAGATTCTTATAAATCCTAATGCGACAGATCCACTTGTATTAGGGGTGAGAGTGTGGCCACAAGCAATCCCCCAGTTCTTGATTGGTCATTTTGATATCCTAGATGCTGCAAGAGATGCTCTCAAGGGAAAAGGGTTGCAGGGGCTGTTTCTTGGGGGAGATTATGTATCTGGTGTCGCATTGGGCCGATGTGTAGAAGGGGTTTATGAGGCTGCTTCTGAGGTAACTGATTTCCTCTCCCAGTACGCGTACAAATAGTGCTAGATGCGGGATGATCATTGAGGATTTTGGTCAAGTGTTCAAGTATCCTGTAGGTATGAGCAGACGAGTGATTTCTCTGCGGTTGTTGAATGAGGTTGAGTGGCTGGAGAGTTATTCTTTGTTTTAGGCCTTCTGTATGACTTTGTAATCACTCCATCCATATTAGGTTTATCATTAGTAACAGTAGCAATGAAATGTTTTTTTTGTTACGCAATGATCAGAAGTGGAGTTAAGCACAGATGATAGGGATTTGGGAACCGAACTTTTTGTAGCATCAGCTCAAACGGATAATGACAGCAGTCACGCGGAGTTGAGCTTTAAACAGGCATATCAGCATGGAGGACCGGAAATTGTTAGCTTCTGACCCCGACTGATGTGGTTTCACTCAGACCTAAGTCGATCGCTGGCGAAGCCCAAGAGATTTTTAACTCCGATGAGTTAAATAAAAGAACTCTTATTAATACCTTAAATTATTTTAGTATTAATTAAATAAAACTTCGGGGCTTAAAAACTCTCTTTACTAGAAGATGAAGGGCAGGCCCGTGAGAGATGAAAGGTTGGTTTTTTTTTTTTTTTGAGCGGGAGGGATGGCGGCGGCTAAAGCTTTGGTTTTTCAGAAACATTAAAATATATATATATAATTAATTAAGAAAAAATTATATATATATATATATATATAATTAATTAAGAAAAAAAATTATTTAAAAAAAAAAAGCGAAAAGGGCTACTCTATTGGAAAGAAGGATTTAAAAAATATAACCAAATGAATTCTCACCAAAAGCAGCGATTACCCATGAAGACCAGGGTGGTAAGCAAAACTATTATCAGGCCTCTTTATCAACTAAAGCAACAGGTATAGGAACTTGAACACGGCCTGATTATTGATTCTACGAGCGTCACGTGCAGTGAAAAAACAATCGCTGCGTAATGGTTTTGGAATTGTCGAGCGCACGCATTCGTGTTTTTTTTTTAAAAAAAAAAAAAAGGAAGAAAAGG